GTGCATCAGGGAGGACACTGTTCAGGGGAGGACACTGTTGGGTGGAGGACATTGTTCAGGTATTTACTAATACACAGGTCTGAATGAAAGAAAACTGACTAACTTTTGCTTTAAATTCAAATGATACAACCATGTGGGTCAACAAGTTATAAATATTGTTGGTCATGTTCTCTCCTAGCATGTTTGTCTAGAGCAGGGCAAGCTTACATGGGCGGCCCTACCCGCATTGATAGATTCAGGCCGGGGGAGTCAGCTGACCTTTCTAGCTCTCCCCTCCCCCTTGCCCCAATAGCATGCCAAGGTTTGAGCATATAACAGACCAGTCGTGTTTTCCCGTTGATATCAGCTAGACTAACAACAAATAATTTCAAACATTTTTAGACACAAAAAGAAACATTGTTTGTACCCTTACTTTTTGATACTGAGAGCACAGAAGCAGGCGGTCAAGATAATTACGGTGACAAGAATTATAATAAAGATGACCAACAATATTATGGTACACCAGTCCCACATGTCTCTCAGCTCTCGCCGTCTTGAGCAAGTCAATGACCAAATCTCCTTCAATGGGTCTGTGTATTAAATGGAAGGTTTAGACTTGACATTAAGAGAGGGGCTAGTTGTTGTCGTTAGATCGGATCATTTATTCCACTGTGCAAGCCTTCAATTCTAAATCATTGTGGTTTAACAGTAGACTGTGAGGACGGCAATGATCTATAGAATGTCGATCTTTGAACTAAGACATTGCGTGAACATCTGCTATGTACACGCTTATATTATTCAGCTTTTCATCATGTGATCGAGTCAGCTATGTAGGACTATTGTAGAATTAGTGGGGCTATTGAAGCATAAGTGGGGCTCTTGCAACATCCGATGCTAATTAAACATTTGGCACCATGTTTTCCTATATAAACAAGTGTATTCATCCCAATCATCTAGGTAAACCAATAACATTAACGCTGTGTAGATGTGGTCTGTTGACTGTATTTCCCTGAGGTAAAGCTGCATATCCACCCACATCCACCCAGAGAACTTAATCACTGGCTGCAGTTAGGACTTGTTAGATCGGGCTTAATGAGGTCTACATCTATTTCACCATCAACATCTCAACATCGACAGCACGACAACCACCCTGCCTCTCCCCTGCACAAAACAAAGCATAATCACACCATGAAAACATATACATTGATGACAAAACATACACAAATGGAATGGATTAACCAGCTGACATCTTGGTGACTAGCTTTTATCTGAGTGCCAGTTTGAATCTGGGTTCCCAGCCTGTATCTGAGAACCCAGCTGGTATCTGAGAGCCCAGCTGGTATCTGGGTGTACCATCCTGTTTCTGGGCACCAACCTTGTATCTTGACCACTGGCTCACACCTCATATCTAACAAACATTGGTGTAGTGGAGAGAAGACTAAAACAAACATTGGTGTAGTAGAGAGAAGACTAAAACAAACATTGGTGTCGTAGAGAGAAGACTAAAACAAACATTGGTGTCGTAGAGAGAAGACTAAAACAAACATTGGTGTCGTAGAGAGAAGACTAAAACAAACATTGGTGTAGTAGAGAGAAGACTAAAACAAACATTGGTGTAGTAGAGAGAAGACTAAAACAAACATTGGTGTGGTGGAGAGAAGACTAAAACAAACATTGGTGTAGTGGAGACTAAAACAAACATTGGTGTAGTAGTGAGAAGACTAAAACAAACATTGGTGTAGTAGAGAGAAGACTAAAACAAACATTGGTGTCGTAGAGAGAAGACTAAAACAAACATTGGTGTAGTAGAGAGAAGACTAAAACAAACATTGGTGTAGTAGAGAGAAGACTAAAACAAACATTGGTGTAGTAGAGAGAAGACTAAAACAAACATTGGTGTAGTAGAGAGAAGACTAAAACAAACATTGGTGTAGTAGAGAGAAGACTAAAACAAACATTGGTGTCGTAGAGAGAAGACTAAAACAAACATTGGTGTCGTAGAGAGAAGACTAAAACAAACATTGGTGTAGTAGAGAGAAGACTAAAACAAACATTGGTGTAGTAGAGAGAAGACTAAAACAAACCTAGGTGTAGTAGAGAGAAGACTAAAACAAACATTGGTGTAGTAGAGAGAAGACTAAAACAAACATTGGTGTAGTAGAGAGAAGACTAAAACAAACATTGGTGTCGTAGAGAGAAGACTAAAACAAACATTGGTGTCGTAGAGAGAAGACTAAAACAAACATTGGTGTAGTGGAGAGAAGACTAAAACAAACATTGGTGTCGTAGAGAGAAGACTAAAACAAACATTGGTGTCGTAGAGAGAAGACTAAAACAAACATTGGTGTAGTGGAGAGAAGACTAAAACAAACATTGGTGTAGTAAAGAGAAGACTAAAACAAACATTGGTGTAGTAGAGAGAAGACTAAAACAAACATTGGTGTAGTGGAGAGAAGACTAAAACAAACATTGGTCTAGTAGAGAGAAGACTAAAACAAACATTGGTGTAGTAGAGAGAAGACTAAAACAAACATTGGTGTCGTAGAGAGAAGACTAAAACAAACATTGGTGTAGTAGAGAGAAGACTAAAACAAACATTGGTGTAGTGGAGACTAAAACAAACATTGGTGTAGTAGAGAGAAGACTTAAACAAACATTGGTGTAGTGGAGAGAAGACTAAAACAAACATTGGTGTCGTAGAGAGAAGACTAAAACAAACATTGGTGTCGTAGAGAGAAGACTAAAACAAACATTGGTGTAGTAGAGAGAAGACTAAAACAAACATTGGTGTAGTGGAGAGAAGACTAAAACAAACATTGGTGTCGTAGAGAGAAGACTAAAACAAACATTGGTGTAGTAGAGAGAAGACTAAAACAAACATTGGTGTAGTAGAGAGAAGACTAAAACAAACATTGGTGTAGTAGAGAGAAGACTAAAACAAACATTGGTGTAGTAGAGAGAAGACTAAAACAAACATTGGTGTAGTAGAGAGAAGACTAAAACAAACATTGGTGTAGTAGAGAGAAGACTAAAACAAACATTGGTGTAGTGGAGAGAAGACTAAAACAAACATTGGTGTAGTGGAGAGAAGACTAAAACAAACATTGGTGTAGTGGAGAGAAGACTAAAACAAACATTGGTGTAGTGGAGAGAAGACTAAAACAAACATTGGTGTAGTAGAGAGAAGACTAAAACAAACATTGGTGTAGTAGAGAGAAGACTAAAACAAACATTGGTGTAGTGGAGAGAAGACTAAAACAAACATTGGTGTAGTGGAGACTAAAACAAACATTGGTGTAGTAGAGAGAAGACTAAAACAAACATTGGTGTAGTGGAGAGAAGACTAAAACAAACATTGGTGTAGTGGAGACTAAAACAAACATTGGTGTAGTAGAGAGAAGACTAAAACAAACATTGGTGTAGTGGAGACTAAAACAAACATTGGTGTAGTAGAGAGAAGACTAAAACAAACATTGGTGTAGTGGAGAGAAGACTAAAACAAACATTGGTGTCGTAGAGAGAAGACTAAAACAAACATTGGTGTAGTAGAGAGAAGACTAAAACAAACATTGGTGTAGTAGAGAGAAGACTAAAACAAACATTGGTGTAGTGGAGACTAAAACAAACATTGGTGTAGTGGAGAGAAGACTAAAACAAACATTGGTGTAGTGGAGAGAAGACTAAAACAAACATTGGTGTAGTAGAGAGAAGACTAAAACAAACATTAGTGTAGTAGAGAGAAGACTAAAACAAACATTGGTGTAGTAGAGAGAAGACTAAAACAAACATTGGTGTAGTGGAGACTAAAACAAACATTGGTGTAGTAGAGAGAAGACTAAAACAAACATTGGTGTAGTAGAGAGAAGACTAAAACAAACATTGGTGTCGTAGAGAGAAGACTAAAACAAACATTGGTGTAGTAGAGAGAAGACTAAAACAAACATTGGTGTAGTGGAGAGAAGACTAAAACAAACATTGGTGTAGTAGACAGAAGACTAAAACAAACATTGGTGTAGTGGAGAGAAGACTAAAACAAACATTAGTGTAGTGGAGAGAAGACTAAAACAAACATTGGTGTCGTAGAGAGAAGACTAAAACAAACATTGGTGTAGTGGAGAGAAGACTAAAACAAACATTGGTGTAGTGGAGACTAAAACAAACATTGGTATAGTGGAGACTAAAACAAACATTGGTGTAGTAGAGAGAAGACTAAAACAAACATTGGTGTAGTGGAGAGAAGACTAAAACAAACATTGGTGTAGTGGAGACTAAAACAAACATTGGTGTAGTAGAGAGAAGACTAAAACAAACATTGGTGAAGTGGAGACTAAAACAAACATTGGTGTAGTGGAGACTAAAACAAACATTGGTGTAGTAGAGAGAAAACTAAAACAAACATTGGTGTCGTAGAGAGAAGACTAAAACAAACATTGGTGTAGTAGAGAGAAGACTAAAACAAACATTGGTGTAGTGGAGACTAAAACAAACATTGGTGTAGTGGAGAGAAGACTAAAACAAACATTGGTGTAGTGGAGAGAAGACTAAAACAAACATTAGTGTAGTGGAGAGAAGACTAAAACAAACATTGGTGTAGTAGAGAGAAGACTAAAACAAACATTGGTGTAGTAGAGAGAAGACTAAAACAAACATTGGTGTAGTGGAGACTAAAACAAACATTGGTGTAGTAGAGAGACGACTAAAAC